TGACGATGGGTGACGGGGTGCCCTCCAGCTCTACGCTCGTCGGCGAGCTCTACGAACACTACAAGGATGCCGACGGGTTTCTGTACCTCGGGTATACCACGGAGAGTAAGTTTGGCATCTGTGTGATATGTTTACCGTGCTGCATTCCGTGCTGCCTTCCGTTTTGCTGCTAGTTGCAGAATTCTGGCCTGTTTTCAGTATTTAATATTGGTTTTGGTCTGTTCGTGAGATATTCTCTTTTTTTCGTTTGTTATATTACCTCCCGCCTCGGGCCACTAGCAGGTGCTGTGTTATATCAAGGTACTGATGCTAGGCTCCATGACATCTTTCAATTGACACTGACTGACGCGCGTTGACTGTTGCGTGCTGTGTGTTTAGCATTGACAAATTGCAGAGGCACGAACAATAAATGCCNCGGTGGTCGCGCACTTCTGCTGGCCGTCACGCCAGGTTTGATTTGGCACTGTGCATACACAACTGTGTGGTTTCCGCGGCCTGATGTTCACGTTGGGCCGCGTGTTGCGCACGCATACTCCATTTTATTTCTGTTAACTCATGTGGCCAAGCCGTGCGGAGGTGCCGTGGGTGTGCCTGACGAGCACACTCATTGTTTTTGGTTTCTTTCATCGTTGTTTTACGCAGTGCTGTAAGCCGAGACGGCTGCTGGTGGTGTCAGATACGAAAGGTGCCGTGCGGTGACGGCCGTGCACCCCGCCCCTCAATGCCTTCTCGCTCCCCCCTCTTGGCTGCGCAAAGAAAGGAAGCCACAGCGAGATCCAGCAACGATGTCCGCCGCCACTCTGAGCGCATACAAGGCCCAGCTCGGGCTCGCCGAGCGCCGCGCGGAGAGCGCCCGGCTTGTGGAGCGCCACCCGGGCATGGTGCCTGTCGTGTGCGAGGCCGCGTCGTCGAAGGGCGGGCGTGTGTGCCACACGATGGTGCCCACCGGCGCGACGGTCACGCAGCTGTGCGACGCGGTGCGTGCAGCGGCAGAGNTTGACGCCAGTGCCCCACTGGCACTGACGATGGGTGACGGGGTGCCCTCCAGCTCTACGCTCGTCGGCGAGCTCTACGAACACTACAAGGATGCCGACGGGTTTCTGTACCTCAGGTACACTGCCGAGAGCCAGTTTGGTTACTTTAACATGTCCTGTCTGTCCGCTGGGACTTAAACGGTGTGAACGTGTCGTCTCTCTGACGCCAAGCGTAGAAGGATTTATTTTAATTCTTCGTTTTCTCTCTTCACCCTTTCTCCCGCCTGAGCCTCAACGTCTAGCAGCTGCGGCGCGGTGGTCGCGCACTTCTGCTGGCCGTCACGCCAGGTTTGATTTGGCACTGTGCATACACAACTGTGTGGTTTCCGCGGCCTGATGTTCGCGTTGGGCCGCGTTTTTTCTACAGTTTTTGTTTCCTGTTTGTGAGTATTTTTTTTGATTTGCGCGGATTTTCTGGAGTTTGAGAATAATGGTTTTAGCCCTGCCTATGTATTAGTGACTGTGGAATGTTTTGGGTTGACCTTTTTTGTGTTCTGGTTTTTTCGTTGTTGTTTTTGTTGATAGGTGTGTCGTGTAAGCAATAGGCTGGACGTATTGTGAGGACCTTAGGAGGTTTGCTGCTGTTGTCTTAAGACTTTGCAATGACGAAATATGAACTGAAGATGCAGTACTTTGATGAGTGGATGATGCGGTGGCGGAAGTTTCAAACGGAGGGCGACTGGGAGATTGAGAAGAATCGTCAGTGGTGGCGGCGGTGCAACATGGCTGTGTCTGCGGGTTTGTTTGGTTCCCTGGTGCTGTACACAGCGGGTGCAGCAACAGTGAAACGTCAGTATGGACTTCCTCACTTCTACGACATTGGCGTTGATGGACAGATTAAACAGACCGTGTTGCAGTACTTGACATCGCGGTGGCGCTACACGCCTCAGGGCTATGGACGTGTGTTGATCACCAGTATCCCAACGTATATCTCATTTGTGACGTTGGAGCACTACCAGGAGAAACGTCGCATGCAGCAGTATATTGAGCAGAATACGGTGTTTGGTGAACAGATGCGGCGTTTTCTCAACACCGGTAAGATCGAAGAGTTCCTTGCGGTGAACATAAAGGGCTCGTTGCCGAAGTCTCAGCAGTCTATCTATGCCTACTAGATGCGAAGCGATGCAGTTCGATTCGCAGCAATGAATGAGTGGTTAAGGAATACGTGTGAGGTACTGAAGGTGTGGTGGTACAGGTATGGTTTCATGGCTTGCTTAGTTGTGGGCTTTTCCCCCTGAAAACTGCATCTGTATTTAACAGTGAAAAGGTTAGGCAGAAAAAGCGATGTAGCTGAGTTGCTTTCCTTTTACACTGTGTTGTGCTTCGCAGTGTCCGTGGTATACTTTCTGATGCTAACAGAGTAGGAATATGTGGCCGTGGTGGATCTTGTATGCTCTGCTCTCATTCAGGGTGGTATTTCATCGAAGATGTGTGCGTCATTGGGAAAAAGAGGAACTAGCAGTAATGACGTGAAGGATTTTTTATTGTGTTTCTTTCGTAGGAGTTTTTGTAGGCTTAGTGTCGATTGCTGGGAGAGAGTGTGTGGGGGTGCTTCTCTTGCACCAGTTTTCTTGATGGATGCCTGCACGTTGTTTTTTATTGTTTCGCTTTTTCGGTCTTCTGTGTTTCGCTAGTTTTGGCGCCTGAAGCCCCGCTGCCGGCATTCGGCACGCCCGGTGTTGCTATTGAGCGCCCACTTCGGCGCTATTTTCACGGCAAACTTCATGCCACTGCCCGGCGTTTTAAGACCGAAGTCAACAGCCAGTGGCCTGTGCTTGGGTCGGGGCGGCGCACTTGCGATGGATGCGTCGGACTCCGCCCACAACTCCCTTGTGGAGATGTTCCAGACCGCGAATGGAGGGTCCGTTCGCTGCGCCTACCTTTGAGGGATCGATTGGCCCGTCCCGCCTGCGCGGCTGCCCGGGAAGCCATCAGACTACGGCGTCCCCCAACTATGGGTGGCTTTGGAACGGGGGCACAGGCCGCGCAAGCATGGCAAGGTTCTGCCGTGGGAATCTGCACCCGGGCACAAACTGTAACAGTGAGGGGCCCCCCAGGGCATGAGTCCCTTTGCAGCATCATGTGGGCTTCAGGCAGTGTTACAGCGAATGGGTGGATCGACCACGGCGATGACCCTGGATTTAAGTCTGGTAAGAAAATATGGTGACAGGAAGAGAATAAGGAAGTGGCACACTCTCTTTCAGTTTCTTGCACCGGTTGGAATGTGAGTCACCACGAGCGCTGAGTACGGTCGCGCTTTCGAGGACAACAGGACGAAGACAAAGAAGGCGTTGGCAATCAATTTTGTTTACAGGCATCAGGTATGTCGTGATTACTATCGTCAGGTGACAGATGGTGTATGTGGTATAAACGGTTGGCAGTGTTGCTGTGCTCGAAGGCGAGAGATGACAGCGACACCAAGAAAGACATGGATAATGTTGGAACACATGACTATTCGCACCTCTCTGGGAGCTTCAACGCATTCTGTTGTTAGCAGCAGCAGGACTGGTAATAGTAGTGGCAGTGCAGTTTTGAGGAGCACAAAGAGCAGTTTCAGTAAAGCGCATAGTGGCTTGAGGAGGGAACGAGTGACCTTCGGCAGCTGCACTGGCATGTTGGGGAGACCATATCGAAGTTTGAGTGATGTCATAGTGGACAGGAATCTCAGGGATAACCCAATCTCGCAGCCGGGGACTATATTGGGAGAGTGACGGTGATTAATGGGACCAATGTGGAATTCTGTGGCCACACTCTGGCTCGGAAGGATTCGGTTTTGGGAAGATTAGCGCGAGGGATCCAAGCGTTATTTCAAGTCCCCGGTGGTGCCGCAAGTATTTCCATCTCTTGGGTGTGACCAGAAGTGCGATGGTCACCTGTGCCGATGTCTATCGCCTATATATTTGTCGCTGCAATTATTATTATTTTTATTATTTAGGGTTGGAAACTGTTATGAGGCTGATGAAGGACGGAGGTGCAAAAAGGCGTAAATCTGTATCCTATGATTTTATTGTTTCCTCTTTGCACCTCCATCCTTTATTATTGTTTGCCCACGAGCGAGGAAGGTCGAGTAGTTGCTTTCCTCCTTCGCTGCTTTGCCGCCCAATCTGTCTCTTAATTCCGCTGCCTCGCGCGGGAGTCTTGGGAATGTGAAGAGCCCCATGGGTCACCGTCTCGTGAAGTGCTCGCGCGTCCCTGCGGCGATTGGGCCCTGTTACATGGTCCTGGGCGCGGAGGCGCAGAGATAAAACGAAGGTGGTCGGTATTGGCTTTTTTTTTTGCTACGACCTTGTTCCCTTTTGCCTATAAGCCAATGTGGGAAATCCATCTCGAGGCACACATTGTGTGTAAAAACGCTTGATACGTTTAGTCGTGCGATTTGAGGTGTGGGGTCTTCCTTTTGAGAGAGAAGTTCCACTTGAATGTTCTGAACACTTCCTCTCGTTGTCCTCTAAGTCATGCAGCAATGTGGTCATGCATTTAGCCTACCCTCTTATCTCCGCCTAGCTACTTGGTGAAGTGTGTGGATATTGTTTAGGGTGGCAGGAGCTGCTTGTTGTGACTTGATGAGCAGCTCTGTGAATCACCACCGCCCGCCCTTGAAACAGCTTTCGTCTTGTACACTCCTGGCCGACAAACTGGAAGAGAGGGAGTGTGGAAAATGGTAAATATTCAATAGTTCTCGTTTCTCCTGATACCTTGTGAAGGTAGGCTCCTTACCCTAGGGTCGGTTCCACGAAATAGTACACAAGAATCGGCATTGGAGGTAAGATAGGTTTTTGTTTTGTTAGAGAGATAGGGAAAAGGAAACTTCACGAGTGTGCAACTGGAAAGATACACGAAAAAGGAGAATAATAGCATAATTATGGGGCCATTGAGATCTTCACTAAAGAGTGAGACGAACACCAACGGTCCAGAGTTATCTGCAGCGGTGGCCAGCAGCAGCGGTGGCGACGGCGGCGAAGCAGGGGGCTCCACACCCGTAATAAAGTCAACGCCAAAGTGGCACCGTGGAGGCTCTCGCGGTATGGTCCACCCCGCATACGCGCCTTTGGAGCGGGTCGAGTTACCTAATGTGGAGGAAGATGAGAGCCTCGAAGGAATCAAACTGCAAGTACAGGTACGCACCCGCGAGAGCGGCCGTTGGTCCCCTCTTGTGGCAACACCCACCCAAAACATGTGGCACTCCCCTGCGAATGCGCGGAATCCATATGGCAGTGAGACAGAGAGCCCCACTTCTGCTACTCCGGCCGTTGCGAAACAGGAGGTTACTCCCCCATTCAGCCCACTGACGGTACCATTGGAACCGCTTCCGCCGAACGTCGTGCACCGCGCTCTCCTCGGCAAATGCCGCTTCATTCCGTTCCCGACGCTTCCACCGTATGACCCTCCGCCAACACCGCAGATGAGAACCTATCCACTCTTCATTGGACAAGTGCGCTTTGAGGCGTCGCTGGCGGAGCTCATGTGGCTCTTTCACCGCACCTCTGGCGCGTGTGCACTCACAATTGAGGGCCGCGGCAGTGGTTGTTTCATCTTGCACCTGAGGAGTGAATCGGAACGGATGCTCGTGCGGCAGTTGCACAAACGCATTCTGTTTGATATTGGTGGGGTATGGTTTGCCCGTACCTCGCAGGAAGTGGATAGTCTGTGCGAGCACGTTGCACTTGACGGGCCGTACCTGTCGAAGCAGGCAAAGTTGCCACGCGACTCGATGGTGGTTGAGGACATCAAGGTGGATGCCAATGATTCGCATATAAGTAATCCCTTCTACTATGCGCAGAGGGTGCCCACGCCCCCGTACGGTGGAAGTATGGGAGGTTGGGGCCGCACAAGTAGTACAAGAAGTACACCAACAAGGGTGTCCTACAACTCCGTGACATCTTCACCGATCGAGGCACCGCTTCCCCCGGCCACGTGGTACCCGCCGATGTCCCTCTACGAGGCTCCAGCGGCCGAATCACCGCACATGATCTGCGGGGAAGAATGGAAAAGAAATTGTGTGTACAGCGGGGGAGCGAAGAGATAAGATCATAAGGAGAAAAACGAGAGGGAAATATTACGTGGTAAACGCCAGCAGGCATTCGTGAGGCATTTTGTGTATGGATGTGAGGATCTAATTCCCACATGTTCGGAGCACGTATTGGCTTTCACGCATTCATTGTAAGTTCTGCTTAGTTTGCTTAATTATTATTATTTTTTTCTTTGGGAGGTGAGTCAATGATTCTCAGTTCCGTGCGTGTGTTTTTAATGAAGCATAATACGAGGGCGATCAAACAAAAAAGAGGCCGTTGTGTCGAAACTCCTTACACCTGCAGAGTTGGTACGAAGAGGTAAACTCCTTTTTTGTAAAATGGTGGTGGAGCTTGCAGGGTGCGGTGACGCGGAGATAACGAGAATCGGGACGCCGGATCCTAAAAGTATTATTCGCAAATGTTTGTCCCGGGCTTGATTGGAGTAGCGCTGCGGTGGGTCGTCAGTGGAAGAAGAGAAATGAGGGCGGGAGGGCAGAAACGGTGTGTTTCTTGCGCTCAGGACGAGACGGTGCGGGAGGCAACACATGATGTTGATGTAACCGCGACTCTTTGTGTCCTCCCGGCGGTTTTTTTTTTTTTGCTGTTGTTTTTGTGTGTGTGTGTGTGTTTTGAATTTGTTGAGTTTTTTTTTTGTTCTTTGCTCTTCCTGTTGTGTTTTCTCTGTTTGTTTTCATCCGATGTTTTACTTTTTTTTTTTTGTTCTTCACCCCCCTTTGTGCCCGCCCACACTCGGTCGGGGGCATTTGGGGTGGACGATACGCGCACCTTCTTGTTGTCGTTGTTGGTCTATCGTGTAGCGGTGTCGAGTGTGAGAGAGAGAGAGACGAGACGCGCGCAGCGAGGGGCAGCGGGTGGGGGTGGGCAAACTCCACCGCCACCAGCAGCACCAGCAGCAGCAACGAGCTCTGGGCGCAGACACGCATGCGCACCGTTAAGAACGAGGTCAAGATGAAGGTTTAATTACATGGGTTTGTTTGCATCTCAGCAGGGGGGAGAGGGGCACAAGTCATCTGATAAAATACCCACAGATGGCTTGTCTTCATCACTCCAAGCTAAAAGGGAACAAAAGTGAAAGAAAGAGAGCGAGTTTATCTTTTGGGGGCTCGCGCGCTAATAATCTTCTCCCCTACGTGGTCACCCTCTCAGTAAGTTCCACGTGTTAAAGGAACAGCCAAACATGGTGTTGTGGTTTGGCGGCGAATGAGAAATGTGTAAGACGAATATAAAAAAAACGTTTGTTTGTTTTTTTCCTGCTGCTGTTTCCACCTCTCTCTCTCTCTTTCTCTCTTTCTTGATCTTCGCGCTCGTGTAGCGAAGGTATATATATTAGCGGGGCGTGGCTGCGCCATTTATGCTGTGGCGCTGAGAGGCTGGTGTGGCGAATGGATTTCAGCGCCGGTTTGTCCGCGGGCCACATGGAGGCGCTGCGGCTTCTCGTTGCGGCGGTGTTTCCAAGTGCATCGGTTCTCTTCTGTGCGTCGCCGCCGTCGTCGTCATGTGGCCCTGCAGGGCGTCCCGGTGAGGTGGAAGACACGTTGATGGCGCGGCTTGGCGCCCGGCAGCCCTCCTCGCATGCCGCCAATGAGCGGCGTGGATGTCTGCTGGCCAGGCGGGGGCCGTTCCGCGAGTGCTGCTCGCCCAGCGAGGTGGAGGCGTGGGCGCAGCTTTACCGCAGCTGGCCCCCGCAATCCGTCGATGGGCGCCAGTTGTGGCGCTGCGATGAAGAAGAGGCATCGGCGTCGCTGGAGCCGCTTCTACCGTGCTGGACGCCACATGCAGTGGTGTACGTTGGCGGCTTTGAGGCGCCCGATCTTCGTCGTGTTGTGGCGCCGCAGCTGTTCGCGCAGGTGCCACCCCTCGCCAGGGACGCGGAAGGGGACAGGTTGGTTGGTGGTGCTACCTTCGACTACGGAAGGCGTAAGGTCCCGAAGTTCGCGTCGAAGTTACTCAACGCGGAGCTACTGATGCAGGAAAAGGGCTGCGCGCTGCATGAGCCCGACCTGTTGGAGCTTGCCCTCCCTGTAGCTTCTCCGAGCGGTGCGGTGGCGCGGCGTGTCCGCACATTTCTTGCGGTCGCCAACAGCGAGACGAGTATGAGCGCGTTGCGGCTCGCCGTGGATCCGGCACAGCGGACAGCGCTGCGTTCGGCCTTCGGCTACTCGCTTGCTGCGCTTAAGTGCGCGCTTCCGCCCCCCGTCGTGGGCGCCACGCGGCTGCTTCGCCGCTGGAATGCGTCGTGGTCGGCGGTTCCCGTCAGCGCAGCATTTTGGCTGTCGGCGGTGGGCCATGCGGTGGCGCAGATGCCACCACCAACTGCAACGGGGCCGACTGCCATTCTCTTTGGTGGGGGTGCGTCAAGCTCCGACGAGGCGGCAGCGGCTTTGGCAGTTGCTGCGGCTTCCCTTGTCAACAGTTGTACAGAGACGTGCTGCAAAAATTACTTCATGCCTCTGGAGAGCTTCGAGGCGGAGCGTGGGATGCGAGAGTTGGTGGGCGCTGTGGGCCGCCTGCCGGTGCCCCAGCTGTGCAATTGGGGGCACGGTGCGAATGGCATGTGACTTTGTGTGCAGTAAGAGGCAAGTACAAAGGACAAGTGTGTTGAAGAAGCATATGGTGTGGGGGCGGGGGATGTCTTGGCGCAGGGCGCAAGGTCGTGTGTACTTTATGTTGCGTCGTGTGTTGTGTCCCCCCTCCCTGCCCGTTCCCTGTCTCGTTTTCTATTTGTTTCTCCTTGTTGTTGCTTCTTTTTCTCTTGGCAGGAGGAAGATAAAAAACAGTGTAGGGAGGCTCGCGCTAGGCCGCACAAATAAGGCAGTTTTTTCCACGTGCGATTTGTGTGTTTTCTTTCTCTCTTTCGTGATCAGGGCCAGTTTGTCTTTTTTGCTTCTTTTGCTGCCCTGTCGCTTCCCCCGCAGCAGCACGGTGTGTCGCTTTGAGCAGTTGTTCGAACGGTGTGTTTGCCGATGCTCTACCAAGTCGTGAGCAATGTGGCGGACAAGGTGGAGCTCTTCGTTGAGGGGGAGATGACGGTTGCGGAGGTGCGTGTGCTGGTTGGGGCGATGATCGGCGCTGACGAGCGGAACATCCGCCTCACCTTCCAGGGGCACGTGCTCGAGGACGACGCAGCGCCGTGGGACGCCGTTCTGCGAACGTACCCACTCGTGGACGGCGTCCCACGCAAACTCTTCGCGTACGTGTCGGGGAGGCAGCGGGCGGAGGCGCCGAGCGGCGAGGCCCTTCGGGCGGCGCTGCTGACGACGTCGAACACGGCCGAGGAGGAGCGCGCGGCGCGAGAGAACGCGCGTATGATGGAGCCGGTGATTGACATGATGGTGCGCAACCCCGGTTTTCTCGACATGCTGATCTCCACGCAGCCGGAGCTGAAGGAGGTGATCAAGGGGCAACCTGACGTGGAGCGGCTGCTGCGCGACCCCGACACGATGAAGACGCTCATGATGTCGCGGTTTGACCCCGACCGCATGCGATCTCTGAGCCGCGACATGCAGCTGCAGTTCGCTCATATTAGTGCGACACCCGGCGGTGAGCAGCGGCTCCAACACTACACCGAGGGTGCTTCGCAGAGCATCGTTCAGGCGCTTGAGTCGGCACAGCAGGAGTCCGATGGCGGTGTTGATGAGGCGCTGGCGCGGCCGGATCCAAACAAGAAGGCGAACGACGAAGCGCTGCCGAACCCGTGGGCGAACCAGTCGTCGTCGTCGTCGCAGGCCCCGGCTGAAATGAACACCAATGCCATGCGCGCCATTCTGGCCTCTTCTGGTGGCGGCGGTAGCCGTATGCCATTCCTTGGACCACCAGGACACGCACCTCCAGCGGCAGCGAGGAACCTCTTTTCTGCCGTAACCGACATGTTCCCGCAGGGAATTCCTCCTGTTTCGGGGAGCGGGGTGCATCTACCTGGATTGGCACAAGCGAGAGAGGCGGTGCCGAATGATGCTGTACGGTGGGCAGCACAACTTTCGATGCTTAAAGATATGGGGTTTGAGGACGAGGCGCTTTGTATAGAGGCGCTACGTGCGACAAATGGCGACGTTGACAAAGCAGTGGGTTTTATCGTCGACAGGAACAGTTGAATGACATGACTGCTCACGCCCGTTCCAATTCCGCACGTGGAATATGGCTTCTTGATGCATGAGCGGGCTGCTACCAGTCGCCTCCTCGGGATATGAAATTTTCCAACGAAGAGTTGTTTTAGATTACTATGACTGAATCGATTGTTTAGTTGTGCCGCGTTGGTATGATATACTCTCTCCCTCCCCACATCATATGTATATTTATATATATGTATGCGTCTGCGTGCGTGTGTGTGTGTGTCTTTTTTAATGCCCTTCTGTGTTTCTTTTTTTTTTCTACAAGCTGCCAGTCGTGGTGGTATTGAGGAGGGAAGGGCGGCACGCACACACATACGGACAAGAGGGATTTCCCCCACCGCCTTCCTTCCCTTTGTGAGAAGGAAAGAGACAAAATAAACGCCCAATACGAGGGAATAGAAAGTGAGGCGTTGTGTAACAGTTTGGGTGTGTCGTGCGTTTGGTTTGATGCGTTTCGCCGTGTGCTTTGCTGCTGGGCTTCTGGGAGCGGCGCTACAGCGCTCCACCGGCGACGCCCGCCCAGCGGAGTGTTACCGCAGTATCGAGAACGCCCTGCAGTTCCGCAACAAGAAGCGCCCGGGCGAAGTCTTCTCACAGCGCTACAAGCCGTACCGGCTGGGGGAGGTGGTCCCAATCACACATGACACCGCCCTTTTCCGGTTTCTCCTCGAGCCCGACGAGGAGTTCAACTTGAAGCCATGCTCCACGCTGCAGGCGTGCTACAAGTATGGCGTGCAGCCAATGGATCAGTGTCAGCGCTTCTACACGCCCGTCACAGCAAACCACACGAAGGGCTACTTTGACCTCATCGTGAAGCGCCAGAAGGATGGCCTCATGACGAACCATCTCTTTGGCATGCATGTGGGCGACAAGCTGCTGTTTCGCTCAGTTGCATTCAAGGTGCAGTACAGGCCCAACAAGTGGAAGCACGTGGGCATGGTAGCGGGCGGCACCGGCTTCACGCCTATGCTGCAGATCATACGTCACTCACTGACGGAGAAGTGGGACGATGGCACTGTGGACAAGACAAAGCTCTCATTCCTCTTCTGCAACCGCACAGAGAAGCACATACTGTTGAAGGGCGTCTTTGACGATTTGGCGGAGCGTTTCCCTAAACGGTTCAAGGTGTACTACACAGTCGACCAGCCGGTGGACCCCGATAGCTGGCCTCACTTCGTCGGCCGCGTGTCCAAGGAGATGGTACAGAAGTCGATGCCCGCACCAGATGAAAAGAGCATGATTATTATGCTGTGCGGCCCCGACCAGCTGCTGAACCACGTGGCAGGCACCCCGATGGGGACGATGAGCGCCATGTCGAGCGGCATGAACATTCAGCCCCTTGCGCCAGATCTCAACAACCTCGTACAGCTCGGTGGCATTTTGGGTGAGCTCGGCTATTCGAACGACGATGTGTACCGCTTCTAGTGATGTTGGAGTAGTAGTAGGAAGAGAAACAGCAGCAGCAGCCAAGGGACGGAGAAGGAGAAGGAGAGGTGTAATTTACAGAGATACCCCTGATGATGGGATGTGTGTGCAGTGGAGAAAGGCAGTGGGTGGTGTAAGAGGGTGTTATTGTTTCGAGGGAGAAAAACGTCAATGTCTGCAAACTGGAGCTGAGGTAGGGGACGTTGTGTGGGGTGCTACGGAGGCAACGAAGCGGACACGGCTAACGGAAGGAAGCACAACACAAACAAAGACAATGAGGATGTGGAGTTTGTGCATCGGTTTTTTTTTTTTGTTCTTTTCCTTCCTCGGTCATGGCGGTGGTGGTGTTTTGTCGTTGTTGATCTTGACGGCGGTGGGTGTTGAATGTTTTGTTTTCCCGTTTTTGCATTGCGCATCTGTTGCTTGTGTGTATATCCCTTTGGAGGCTTGCTCTCCTGCGCCCCATTGGCATGCTTCGTATCATTGCTCTTCTCCCGCGCATTGCTTCACACACACGCACACACGTGCGGGGGAAGAAAAGGGAAACGAAGTGAGAAGAGACACGCGATGTTCCGCTTGACACGCTGCAGCCGCACCGGGCGGGCGATGATCTCCCGCGGGAGCCCAGAGTGGTCCCACCGCCTGGACCTCAAGAAGGGCAAAAAGACGACGATGCTGCACAAACTAGGCACCAGCAAGCCCAACAACGCCCTCCAGTACGCGCAGATGACGTTGCATGACCTGACAGAGTGGTGCCTTGCGTACTCCCCGTGGCCGCTCACGTTCGGGCTCGCGTGCTGCGCGGTGGAGATGATGCACGCGTACGCCGCGCGCTACGATTTGGACCGTTTCGGCATCGTGCCGCGCCCCACACCGCGCCAGGCGGAAATCATTATCGTCTCCGGTACCGTCACAAACAAGATGGCCCCGCTGCTGAGGAATGTTTACGTGCAGATGGTGAACCCGAAGTGGGTCATCTCAATGGGAAGCTGCGCCAACGGTGGGGGCTACTACCACTTCTCTTACTCGGTGCTGCGTGGGTGCGAGCGCGCGATTCCGGTAGACTTCTGGATCCCCGGTTGCCCACCATCTGCGGAGAGTCTTGTGTTTTGCCTTCACACGCTGCAAAAGAAGATACGCTGGCACGAGATTCAGAAGTACTCCGTACGCGGCTGAGGGTATTACCGCAGCAGTGCGAGGGAATGAAAAGAGAGTGTGCGTATGTGTGTTTGTGTCTCGCTTAATAGGCAGTTGCTGCGTCTGGCAGGGTGAAACTGGGCACAACTAGCGGAGAAGGGGGAGGGGAATGGGGGGTAAATAGTGGGAAGGGTGAGGGAAGTCTGGGTGAGGGGTGTGTGCACCCTTGTACAATAGGGCGAGAAAAAAAAACAAGTAGTGGTCTAACTTCGTTCTGTTGAGGGTGGACGTGGGAATAGATGATAATGGTTGCTGTTATCTCAAGTGCGAGCATATGTATATCTATATCTATATATATATA